ATTATCAGAAGAAATTTTACAAAGTCTTCATGATGTCATATGGAGGCAGGAGTATGGGTAGAGCGAACTTTTAATGTTGCTTTTCTCTTGCTGTAACATCAAATAAAATACAATGTTGACCTTCCAAGTTAAATGTAAAGTCAGGTGGAAGCTCATAGATATTCTATTTCCTCAGATTTAATATAAACACTTTGCCCACTTTTTAATGGGGTTGTTTTTCTCTTATAATTTGTTTAAATTCCCTACAGATGCTGAACATTAGACCTTTATCAGAGGCCTAGATTGCAAAAACTTTCTCCCATTATGTAGGTTGTCTGTTTACTCTATTTATACTTGATTTTGCTGTGCAGAAGGTCTTTAGTTTCATACCATTTGTCAACTTTTGCTTTTGTTGCAATTGGTTTTGGCATCTTCATCATGAAATCTTTGCCCGTGCCTATTTCCTGAATGGTATGGTCTATGTTTTCTTTTAGAGTATTTAGTTTGGGGTTTTACATTTAAGTCTTTAATCTATCTTGAGTTGAATTTTGTATATAGTGTAAGGAAGTGGTCCAGATTCAGTTTTCTGCACATGGCTACCCAGTTCTCCCCGCACCATTTATTAAATAGGGAATCTTTTCCCCATTGCTTGTTTTTGTCAGATTTGTCAAAAATCAGATGGTTGTAGGTGTGTGGTCTTATTTCTGGGTTTTCTGTTCTGCTCCATGGGTCTATGTGTCTGTTCTTGTACTGTAGCCCTATAATAGTTTGAAGTCAGGTAACGTGATGCCTCCAAGCTTTGTTCTTTTTGCTTAGGAATGCCTGGGTTATTTGGACTCTTTTTTTGGTTCCATGTGAATTTTAAAATAGTTTTCTTCTACTTCTGTAAAGAATATGTTGTTAGTTTTATTACTCCGTGATCCAGTGGGAATAGTATCGAATCTGTAAATTACTTTGGGCATCACAGCCATTTTCACAATATTGATTCTTCCTATCCATGAGCATGGAATGTTTTCCATTTGTTTGGGTCATCTCTAATTCCTTTGAGCAGTGATTTATAGTTCCCCTTGAAGAGGTCCTTCACTTTCCTCATTAGCTGTATTACTAGGTATTTTATTCTTTTTGTGGCAATTGTGAATAGGGAGTTCATTCATGATTTGCTCTCAGCTTGCCTGTTGTTGGTGTATAAGAACACTAGTGATTTTTGTACATTGAAAGTGTACTTTGCAGATGCTGCTTATCAGCTGAAGAAGCTTTTAGTTTTAGACAATGGAGTTTTCTAGATATAGGATCATGTCATCTGCAAACAAAGATAGTTTGACTTTCTCTCTTCCTATTTGAATAGCCTTTCGTTCTTTCTCTTGCTTGACTGCCCTGCCTAGAACTTCCAATACTATGTTGAATAGGAGTGGTGAGGGTGAGAAAGGGCATCCTTGTCTTGTGATAAAAATAACTCTTAACTTTTAAGCCTCCCCACATAAGTTAGATGCTTCTTCACAATGTACTATTCTTTGTCCAATCTAGTACAAAAGTAACTGGCTTTAAGTACTTCTCTGGGTCTTAATTTCTTTATAAGGGCTCCCTTACCATGTAAAATTTGTATAAAATAAAATTTGATGCTTTGCTCATGTTAATCTATCTTAGGTCAATTTAATTCTCAAGGCCCAGCCAGGACCCTATGAGGATGGAGATGGATTTGTACCCACTTATACAAAGTGCTATCCATACTCTCTCTACACTATAGTACTTCTTGAAACATTCTTCTCCCCTTTCCTGCCTGGTATAGTCTGGATGTTTGTCCCTCCAAATCTCATGTTGAACCTTTGTTCTAATGAGTAAGTTCTTGCTCTATTAGTTCACAAGAGAACTGGTTCTTACAAAGACCCTGGCATCTTTCTTGCTCCCTTCCTGCCATGTGACAGGTCTGCTGCCCCTTTTCCTTTTTCCATGAGTAAAAGCTTCCTGAGGGGTCATGAGAAGCCAAACAGGTTCTGATGCCATGCTTGTACAGCTAGCATAAGCATAAGCCAAATACAACGCTTATCTTTATAAATTACCTAGCCTCAGGTATTCCTTTATAGCAATACAAAATGGACTAATGCACTGTCTAGCTCCTATTTACTTATTACACGTCTCAGCCTTCTCTAAAAAGCCTGTCTCCTAACTGTTACATTCCACTATCCTATGTGTTCTTGTAGTGCATAAAAGGTACCACACTTTCAAGGAGTACTTCTTATACGCAGAGTACTGCTGTCAAGTTATGAACAAGCAGACCTGAGCTCAGCTTCATGGGCTGTACAGTCAAGCTGGCAAGGATGACTTTAGGCAAATAATTAGAAATAATTAGTAAAATGATTAAAATTTTTCAGAATGCCCTAAAGAAAAAATAAAGGATGGTATGGAAATGTATAGTAGCTAAACCTAATCTGGAGTGATAGTTAAGGACAGCCACTCAAACTCTGCCATGCCCATTATTCTAAGTGAAGTAACTCAGAGATGGAAAAGCAAATACTGCATTTTCTCATTTATATGTGAGAGCTAAGCCATGCAAACACATAGTGATATAATGGACACTGAAGACTCAGAAAAGGAGAGGGTGGGAGGGGGTTGAGGGATGAAAACTACATATTGAGTAGAATGTACACTACTAAGGTAACAGGTACCCTAAACTCTCACACTTCAACAATGTACAATTCATCCATGTAACCAAAAACCACTTGTACCCTAAAACCTACTGTAACAAAAAATATATAAACACAAATAAATAAATGTCCAGACCTCACACACAAAAAAAGGAAACCCTCTGGCATTCATGGTTTAGACAAAGAAAAGAAAAAATAAGATTCAAAGTAGAGGGTGCAACATACACAAAAACATGTTCAAGCAGGAGAGAGGAGGAAATGCGGCATATTTTAGGATCAAGGAGAAATACTGGTGCAGGATGGGGCAGGAGAACGCCTTGGCCCCAAGGCATGTCAGGGCCTGAAGGCAGCATAGGCAGTGAACCACTGCACTGTTCTTCAAAAAAGAACTCACTGTAGGCTGTGTGGAGGCACCCAGCTGCCACCCCTTCAGGAGGCAGGACATCATGCCATTGAGTCTGTAGTCTTTCCTGGCAACCTCTGAGCCAAGTCTACATTTCTCCTGAGCATCCTCTAGTCTGTGACTAATCACAGTTGGAGTACAAGGTTGTTGCCATTTCTGTCCAATGCAGCGGTCCTCTAACAGCTAGTCTTGCTTCAAGACTCCCCACCAGACTGGCTAAGACTGTTAAATTTGGTTGCAGATCATACCCTCTTCTCCCAGTTTGAGGCTCTCTCTAGATTTGGGCCTTGTTACGATATGATTATTTGTTTCAAGGCTCAGTGACAGAATATTGTAGTATAGATGCTATTGGTTACATGGAAGGCATTAGACTCACATAATTGTGGCTTAGCTTTTAATCATGTCAGTGGAGGTGCTGGGAAAAATAAAACAAAGCTGCGAATATTTACAATTTTTTTCCTAAGAAATATCGAATCAGTGATATCTGGATGAAATAAATCTCAATTGGCTGTTTTCTGCTTTCGTTAAACAAATAATTAATTATAGCAGTTTACTGCTGGAAATAGCACAATACATTTGATAGAGTTCAGCAAAGCTACAACAGAGATAAGAAATGTTCACACAATTATTTTGGTGAGTTCACAGATTGCGCTACTTGCCAATTGTGATAGTTAACAAGGTTTTACTTCAAAGGGAGAAAAGAATTTACTATTGCAACTTAGTAAATTGCTAGAGTTTATGTTTAATAAATTTTTGTTAGAGCTGCCACTCTGATATCTATCCCATCCTGCAAAATATGTATTAACCATGTAGTTTGAATACATAAGCCACATGGATTGATCCCACAGCTGGTTCCGGCCAAAGACAGTTAGGATTCTCTCATTTTCCTTTGCCAAAAGTAAGAGCGGTTTAATGGAGAGATCTTAAAGGTTAAGTCCGATGATGGTGGGAAATGATGTATCTCCCCAACTCTATGCCTTAATCCCCCTATATGTGAAGGGTAAAATGTTACTGCAGGTGGCGGCTGGACAATCAGGGAAACCAGTGTGAAGACAAAGCCTACGAAGCAGAGCAAGGATAAATAAAAGAGAAAGAGCATGAGTTCTGATAGAGCTCTGTCTCAAGACTGACCTATATCACATGGTTATTGAGAGCAGATTGAAATGTGTTTTCTGTTACTCGTAGTATCAAAACCATTCTAATATACAAAGCTGTTTTCCTGCTTTTCTTGATTTAAAATTACACAATTGATCATTCATCTCAGCTTAAAACTTACTGCCCTTGAATGGGGTCGGGGGAAAGGTCAATAGTCATTCAATGCTTCAGGTTTAATTTTGTAGCTTTTCATTAATCACAGACTAAAAAAACTTTGCATGCCATTTCAGCAGGTTTCAAAAAATAAAATAAAAAATAAACTTGTGTACTAACCAATTAATGAAATTAAAGATTTAGATGCTAGGTGAATATCAGTACTGGATACCTTAAAGAGCACATAATGCAAAGCAGTAGACTCTTCTCTGGCTTAAAAAAAATTTGATATTCGCTTATATAAAAATTTGCAATCATAGCCCGTGGGCCAAATCAAGGTCACATTTGCTTGTTTTGCCTATACAACATGTAAACAGACATAGTAAAAAATACATATAGCTCTTTATGGCAACAATCAACTAGAGACAAACAGCAGATAGTCACTTTTGGGCAAGAATGAGTTCCCAGTGTAGGTTACTTTACACATGGTCCAGTTCACCCATTTCAGTACCTTGCCCCTAAGATGTTTGTGTCCCCTGGTTTAAATGTACATGCTAATGTTTTGGCAGCTAAGTACAGATTTATCTGATATATAGAAAAAAAAACCTGGCAGCAATTTAACAACAACAACAAAAAGGCACAAAAGTAAATATCCATTTCAGCAGAGTGAAAAAAAGCCACATTTTTCATATCCTTTGTAATAACCACCAAATATGTGTATGTATTACCTTTAAGTCATTTTCTTCTATCTTCTTTTGGAGCATTTTAAGGCACTTAGTAAAGTCAGTGTGGTCTTGATCAGGAGTTGAAATAAGCTCACATCCCTACGTATTAAAGCAAAAGAAAAGGTAAGAATAAGAAGTAATTTCACTCTTACGAACAAGATCAAGACCTACAAAAGTAAAGATAACATATCAATAGATATACCGTATTATGCCTTTATTGTTCCCATATCATTAGAATTATCATCATTATCTTTTTAATTTCACATCATGAAACATTTCAGAAATGGTATTAGAGAGCTACAATAATGGACTGATTATGACAATCATTTTATTTAAGAAAAGTACAGATTATACTACATTAATGGGTCTTTTAAAAATACTGATGTGATGACATTCAAGATTAACATAAGGACTTTGACACATGTATAATAAATTATATTGGCAGTTCAATTACCTGAAATTAAAATGAAAGTATTTGATGAAACTTTGAAGTTCTTTAAGCAGAACTGATGAGTTTGTTTACATGAATGAAAAAAACTAATATTAATATTGAATAATAAAACTTTACATTTTAAGTAAAATCAAGTCAGCAGTCCTACAATATTCTTTTATAAAAGCCTCTTTCTCCCTTGTGAGACACAGAACAAAGAGCTATGTCTGCGTAAATATGTCTCCTGGATTATCTATTGGACATAATGAAGTGAATTTATAAGTTCTTTGCCCTCTCTACAAGATAACTTACCCAGTGAAAAACAATGAAATATATTTATAAGTATGAAGCCACAAAAGTGCCAGTTTATTGGCACTAGTGAACTTAGATGGCTAAAGAAGCCATATTTTTGAAATGACACCTTTTCCTCCAATGTCATACAGAAGCAAAGGTACATAAAGTGAGCATGATGGGACTTCAGACTTCTTAATTCAGGGATAAAACAATTCTTGGACTCTGACAAACAGCTGAGTAAGGGAAAGTTAAATATAATCTAGTATATAAAATTGCCATTCAAAGAGTTTTCAAGGATACAAAACACCCATACTGCCTCTTAAATTATTCTAAGAACTATTCTTGGTAGATTTAAAGGTTCTTCTTTTACTTCAAGGTCTCTTTAAATGTGTCAAGCTCAACATGTGCTTCACTCATTTATGACTCTCTTACAATATAGTGACCAATGAAAAAATTAATTTCTCATCATTCGGAAATATATTATGCTCTAAAAGATATATATGTCATCTTTACATGATCATCGACATATACTTTCTTGACCCTACAAGAACAATGAAATTTACTATAATCACCAAGCAAGGACATAAAGAAGTGACCCTTCTCAGGTTAACACTCCTAATAAGGAAGATAGCAGCATATGCCAGGGCATACAGGAATATTAGCAGGGTTGGACAGACTGCCACAAACCAAAAATCTTTACACTGAAAGTTCCTCAAGGGTAGTTTCATTCATTATGGTTTCCAGTACCAGGCACCAGTTTGTTGCATAGTAAATGTTCAATAAATGTTTAAAGAATATTCTTGAGGAAGAAAATGGATTTTTACAAATACATTTATAAAAATGTACACTGGCTAGAAGGTATAATCGTGCAGTATCTTATTGCTAAATATGCCATATTTGACAATGAAAAATTGTCTTCCTCTTTGAAATTTAAAAGGCAAATAGAAAATTCAACATAATGAATGATTAATAGATCATTATCTACCTTCACAGATTCCACATAGAGAGCCATGGAGAATATGAGAGTTAAACAAAACTCAGGAAGTAATCTATCTAGTACCCACTGCCACATTTTGTAGATTAGGAAAATAAAAACAAGAGACAAAAATTGACCTGCTGACAATTGGACAGCTAGGTAGTAATCAGTAGCAAAGACATGACTAGAAATCCTATTTATTTACCCTCACCAACTAAAACATATTCTTAGATAGCTGATAGAAAAATATCATATAAGATCTCTAGAGTTAGTTTCACAAGAATGATACTATTTTAAAAAAAACCTACTTGAAACATATGAGCAAGGCTGGAATATCTTACTTTACTTCATCATTTACAATAAACACATAGAAATGCTTGGTTCAGGACAAATGCTTGGTTAGCACTGAAAAATTCAGAGTGAATCTAACTCAAGAATTTCTATAAAGTCGTTGAAGGTATTTAACTGATAAACAGCAGCCATTCACAAGTTTAAATGGTTCTAATCTCAACACAGACTGAGAATAAACTCACTAGAAGTGGAAACAGCTCTAATAGCAGTTGCAGGGCAGCTGCCAACACTTAGAAAGGAGACCTGAAAAACAAAATCTTAACCAAAGTGCAGTAACAGGCCTGTGGCTAACTAAAGATGTTTCCACTGTTTTCTGGGTCTTAGGGTAACATATCAAGATCTAAGAGAGGAAAAACAGAAAGATGAAGATGAGAAACTACCAAGATCCTGCAAACAAGAAACAACGTAGAAATACTATAAGGTATCAAGCAATACTCCCCTACTATATATTAATATTTATGATTATTTTAATATGAAGCCCAATTTCCTAACATCAGAAGCACTGAGGTGCTGTAAAAAATTCCACTGATATATTTTCTCAAAAAAAAAAAAGAAAAACCTCATACTTGCTATTCAAGGACTGAGAAGATATTAAAGCCATGAAATTTGGTAATTAAGAATATTATTCTCTAATAAGTAGTTTGTAATCGTTTCCTAATAGAAATGCACAAAAAATAGACTTATGATGCCAAAGAGTGGGAATTTTTGTTTCAAGTACTGCTATCTTCGATTTTTTTCTGTTACGTAAATTGATTTTTTTTTTTTTTTGAGACGGAGTTTCGCTCTTGTTACCCAGGCTGGAGTGCAATGGCGCGATCTCGGCTCACCACAACCTCTGCCTCCTGTGTTCAAGCAATTCTCCTGCCTCAGCCTCCTGAGTAGCTGGGATTACAGGCACGCGCCACCATGACCAGCTAACTTTTTGTATTTTTAGTAGAGACGGGGTTTCACCATGTTGACCAGGATGGTCTTGATCTTTTGACCTCGTGATCCACCCGCCTTGGCCTCCCAAAGTGCTGAGATTACAGGCTTGAGCCACGGCGCCCGGCCATAAAGTGTTTTTAGTATACAAAGTATTATGTTATGAACCAACAAATGGCTCCATTCTCAGACTATACTTTTTGTTTTTTTTCTTTTGGAGACAGGGTCTTCCTCTGTCCCATAGGCTGGAGTGCAGTGGCACAATCATGGCTCACTGCAGCCTTGACCTCCTGGACTAAAGCAATCCTCCTACTTCAGCCTCCCAAGTAGCTGGGACTACAGGCATGTACCACCATGCTCAGCTAATTTTTTTGTAGTGATGGGGTTTTCCTATGTTACCCAGGCTGGTCTCAAATTCCTGGGCTCAAGCAATTCTACGGCCTTGGCCCCCAAAGTGCTGGGATTACAGGTGTGAGCCATCACACCTGGCTAATTAGTCTTAAAATATAATTTTTCACATATACATGGAAAGAGTATCAAAGAATTACAAGGACAGAAACATAAAAGTCATCTATCAAGTCGACAATATTTTTCGTGGAAGTCAGCAGGATGAAAGAATATGGGACCAAGAAAGAGTAAGGGGCCAAAAAAAAAAAAAGGACATGAAAGAATAAGGGACCAAAAAAAAAAAAAAAAAGCAAAGGTACTTTCGCAGAAGAACAAGGTAGTTGACCTTGCCTTTCCAGATATTCAGACATATAAATTAATTAACACAACAGGGTATTGGCAAAATGAAACAGTAAGTAGAATATTAGAACCACAGAAGCAGAGATATTTGCTTGTGTGAGCACAGCTGTCTTTAGGAACTAGAACAGTGACTGGCACGCAGAAAGTGTTCAATATATAGTTGGTAAATAGATAACTGAACAGAATGGGGAAGACAAAAATAGACACACACATACACACATTTGAAAACTTAATAGCAAAGTCTCAAAACATTTCTAAAAATAGAAAATTATGGTATTATACCAAATTATCATATGGTAGTATGTGATATTTTAAATGAGGTGCAAAAATAAATATAAATCTGAAGAGAAAGAATTGATAAATTCAGCTACTTTAATAACTTTTTTCACCCATAAACAATATGCATAAAATAAAAAAGAAAGCTTCAAAATGTAAGAAGTTATTTTCCACAAACATAACTAAAAAAAAAAAAGATTACTATCCAGAATTCATAAAGATTTGTAAAAATCTATAAAGAATAAATAACTGGATGAAAAAATGGGCAAAATGTTTTAATAGGCAAGTTAAAGAGCAGCAAACCTAAAACAGCCAATTAATTGTAGTATTTTGTTTTCATGCTGTTGCTAAAGACATACCCTAGAGTGGGTAATTTACAAAAGGAAGAGGTTTAATTGGACTTACGGTTCAATATGGCTGGGGAGACCTCACTATCATAGCAGAAGGAAAGGAGGAGTAAGCCACATCTTACATGGATGGCAGCAGGCAAAGAGAGAGCTTATTTAGGAAAACTCCCCTTTTTAAAACTATCAAATCTTATGAGACTTATTCACTATGACAAGAACAGCACAGGAAAGACTTGCTCCATGATTCAATTATTGCCCACTAGGTCCCTCCCACAATACGTGCGAATTCAAAATGAGATTTGGGTGGAGAAACAGTCAAACCATATCACCAATACACATAAAAAAGCCAATACACATGTAGGATTGCTTGAGTGCAGAAATCTGAGGCAAGCCTTGGTAACATGGCAAAAACCCATCACTACAAAAAAAAAAAATTAGCCAAACATGGTGGTGGATACCTTGGGAGGCTGAGGTGGGAGAAGTGCTTGAGCTCAGAAGGTTGAGGCTGCAGTGAGCCATGAAAACAAGTACACAAAATATTTTATTAGGCAAGTTAAAGATTAGCAAAACAGAAAAAGACAAGCACATGAAAGGATGTTGATTTTCACTAGTAATCAGATAAACTCAAGTAAAAATCACTGATACACATTTGTCATACCTTAGATTAACAAAAAAACTTGTGGCATATTTAAACACTCAGTTATTCTATGACAAAAATGAACGAACAACAAAAAACTCATAGAAGAATAAATGTGTG